TACACTGTATAAATGTATTTACAATGGTTTGAAGTGCTTCCAAGTTTTGCTTTAACTGATAAGCGCAAAACAGTGTACTGTGGATCTGAAAACTTGCTGATACAAATTAGACTCTGTATTCCAAAATCAAAGAGGCTGGGATGACAGATGAGAAGTGTGTGTTTTTTCCCACTAATTTTTATAACAGGGATTTCACTTTTTTCTTTTTAGATTCCATCGGTAACATGAGTATCAATATATTTAAATTCTGATTTCTCGTTAAAACCTTTTCTCACTAGAAACATTTTAAGCCATAGTGATGTAACATTTTCGCTCTTCTTTCATCACATAAAGATGATGTTACAGTAAGTGCAAGTGCTTGTACTAGTCAGCTATAAATTATTCAAATGTATGTGTTAAGATAAATTTATTTTCTTAAAACAAGTACTTGCTTAGCTGTGGCTTTGATCTCCAATTTTGTTGCAAAACATCAAGCTGATTTATAATAAATTGTTTACAACAATAATGTATTTTTGGTGAATTATGTTAAAAAAAAATCTGTGATATAGACTACCTTACAAAGTGAGGTTTTTTACTAATGGCACAGAGGAATTTGTACACAATGGAAATATCCAGTAACCTTGATTTGTCTTTCTTAAGTACACTGCAGTACTGCAAGTATTTCACAAGTGCTATGCTTAGACAGCTGACTTAGTCAAAAATGATGTGGAGAAGGCTGATTTCAATCAAGAGAAACACAAAACATCAGGAAAAATGAGAGACTTAAAATAGAAAGTAGTATTATCAAGAGAGTGGATGATTCAGAAAAATTAGGATGAGATGAGAAGCATTCTACTTCTAGATCACTAGTTCAAATGAAGCTCCAGTATGGTAATTTGTACATTTTGTTGCCATCTGATACCTGCTTGGTAACCTAAATTGGTGAACCACTTTATATCTGCTACCCTATGTGCAGTCATATATGGATGTATCTGTAACCTTCGTACATCCTTCACAGAACAGTGAAGCACCACATGGTCCTGGATGCTCAACTACTTTTTGCTCCTTTCATTTGTACTTCCAGAAAGGACCTAGTGGACTTGTACTTATTCTCTCTGTATTATGTTGTTTTAAACTGAGCTGGATGATCCAGTGGTTGTGTTCACCATTGGAGGTTTTTTTCTTTGTTCAGCAATATTAACAGTGAGTTTTAGTTTCTTTGGAAAATTTAATTCCAGCCAGGTGGATTTCCTACCTCTCATCTTAAGAGAGTTACGTGTAAAAACAGGTAATGGAGAAAAAAGATTTAAAAAAGAAGTTAATAAATTAAAATTATTAAAGCATATCAACACATTACAAGTTAATTGAAAGTTTTTAAAGACTGTAATGCATTTCTGTGTCATTAGGAGAATTCAGCTGTTGCATTCCAAAACTATTTCAGGGGGAAAAATACTTTGAGGTCATACTCATTCAGATCTGATACAGAAATTCACAAGTCAATTTTTCATGACACTTTCGTACTTTGTGACACAAAACATGGACTATCACTGAGCAAATCGAGTTCCTCTGTTCATGACGTACAGTAAAGATATGCATCTCACTGTTCGTTAGTCTGCAATAGTAAATGTTGCAGCTAACAAAATGATTTCTTTGAAGCTGAATATAATGATAACAACATGGTATTGTTTGCTCACAGGAACTGAAGCCTTTCGTTCTCCTTAATCCCTAAGCACCATATGGACTGCCATTATATACCCAGAAGTACATTTAGAAGACTCTTTCTGAGATGTCATGTGGCAGCCATTTAAGAGTCCACATCAACTCTAGAGTCAGAAGGAAGAGAAATATTTCAAGTTGATTCAGCAGAAAATGATCTAAGGGGCAAAATAAAACATTTTTTCAGGATGTGGAATGCCTCTGGGGGCTCAGAGGAAGCTAAAATATTCAAGGGAGCTGAGGGTCAGGGCAGACCCAAATTTGACAAGTGCGCCAAGTGCAACTTGGCCAGGGCATCTTGTTTCATACCTATGTTCTTGTGGAAAGTAAAATGGGAATTTGACACAGAGATAATGTCCACCAGGCGCATATTCCCTGGCTTTCATACACCTGTTATCTCAGTTGGGACTTAGGAGGGAGAATGCTTTCTGCTGACTCCCAAATAGTCTTCACAGCCATCACGTTTGCCTACCAATCTCTCATTTTCATTTCATACAGGGAAAGCCACATGAGCTGTTAGATAAAACTTGGCAGTGAAATCTGGTTGTATTCCTGGCTTTGCCTTTCACCTGCTGCTTGGCTTTGGTCGTCAACTTTTCATGTTCCAGTTTCCCTGTTTGTGTTGATATTTTCCCTGGTGAAGTAGTTTGAGATCAACACATAAACAGAGTTAAACAGTGGCAGTTCTAATGCCGGTCTGAACCCAGTAAGCTGTGGGAAATTATCAGACCACAGTTTATGTGACAAAAGAAATATGACTTTGTAGACCAGTTCGGACTGAGGTCCAGGGCCTGGCTTTTTTAGCCTGTCTGACATGTCTTTGGATAATAGAGAATAAAAAATAGATACGACCACTATGATTCTCAAATTTGCATGTAGATAGATGACATGAGAGTGTGTCTGCATTTTCCTTCTGACTATTGTTAAGACCCCGTGCCAAGTCCAGCAAAGTGAGCATGACCCTGGTTGCACTCGTCACCAGAGCCGCAGCATGTGCAGATCATATATCCCCTCTCTGATCTTTTGTAATGTTCTAGCAGAGGGGAGATAAAAGAGAAAAATCAGTTTCCGTTGATGTGTTCCCAGGGGGATGATACAGATGCAAATATAGGAAGGAGAAATTTAAAACCAACTGTCAGTTCACGTTTTCTGGCAGGCTTGGAATTATTTTATTGATGTCTCCTGATTCAATAGGTATTTCAGTGTGGATATGTAGATTTCCCAAGGTTTTAATGTACTCACAAAAGTTACGATACAAGGGCGCCGTTAAAGTTGCAAAGCACTGAGCATTTGGAAAATACATCCTGGGTTCCCTCCCAGCAGCGGCTTAGTCAGTCTCCTTTTCAGTTGATCTCTGCCTGCCCCTTCCTCTGCATCCTGCCCAGTCTCTGGACACAGTTTCATGATCCTCCATGACAATGCTAAGTGGAGGCTGGTCCTGTTTCTTCTTACCTTTTGTGCTGCCAGTTCAGCTGTGCTGCTTCACCAGTTTCTATAGCTGTGTTGCGAACCTTGATTAAAAAAACCTGAACAGATTCACCACACAGCTCCACAAGCAGCATTGCAGACACGCCAAAGTGTGCTGGGGGCAGAGGTGGTGGGAATGGGCAGCCAGGGACAGGAGAAGGGATATCGTCACTGCATCCCTCATAACATATAGCTGTTATGTCCCTCCCTCATTACTCTCAGCAGCTCTCAAAGTCTGTTTTCTCCAAACCCAGTTTCACATGCTTGTATTTGCCCCTTTGGACAGTCCCACCCTTGCCTTCTCCCCAAGTCAATCAACAGCTCCTTGCTCAAACAATCCA